AAGTTGTTGGTGCTGTTACTTATCACTTAAAGATCACTATGTATCACCACAACGATTACCCACATTACGTGGGATGCCAATTTTGTCCAAAGGCATGAAAAGTGGTCAATGGCTGAGACGATTTTGTTTATATTCATGTTCAAGAGTTGAAGCAGTTTTACAGGCAGATTTTCAATGAATAGAAAAACAAAACCGGTAACAACATTTTTCATTTTCCTACAAAATACTTTCAATAAATCTCGTGTAATTAATCTGTCTGACAATTAGCTTCTTAACTAATGCAAACGCTAAAGGAAATTGCAACGAACGAGACTTTCCTTTTAATCGCGGGAAAGCATCTGGTGCTTTTGAAAACTAGAAAAAAAAATGGAATAAAATTGAAAAAATTGATCATTTGTGTGAGTTTAATTTAATTGGATAAATATTTGGCACAAACGATATAAACTCGTTAAAAGACAAAAAATATAGCTAGAGGGTGTGCTACTTGCAGTTTAAATCGTTATTTGCGAGTTTATTTGAAGAGCAATGCCGTACTTATATGGTTTATAGAAAAACACTCGGATATCACACGCAAATGTTGGATCGAGTAAATGACTCGTAATGTGTATAAGGTGTAGGTACTTACATTAGTGAATGGGAAAGACGCAAGACAATGAACGCATGCGTGCAATTCCCTGCTCTTTCTAGTGACGGTAGTAATTTTTTTTTCTCATGAGATGTGTAATTATGCGAACGGTGCTCTCACTTTTTTGTTGTTGTTACTTTACAAATGATAGTGCTCGCACGCTGGAATACAAATTGAGAGTCGAGGTGCAGTTATATAAAAATATTCAAGGAAAAAGTTACTTTACAGTTTTCCGTTTAGAAAGTCTTAAGTCCATTAAGAAAATAAATAAGTAACAAGTACAGCCAAATAATATTAAAATCTTACAAACAAATGATGTATTGTTTCTGAACTATTATTTGTGATGTAAAAATGATAAACGTTTACCATCAGCCCTTAAAGGCACTTTGTTCGACGTTTTTAGAAATACAAAATATTTCTGAAATTTATGCTCTATCGATTTTTATCAAGGCCTTATAGGTAGTTCTTGTGCACTACAGTTTTAAATATGCAAAGTGCTTGATATCCCGCAAGACTGCGTGCTAATTGCCCAAAATTTAAAACACGAGTAACTTTTTTCACATGCACCGTAAGTTTAAAAAATTTCCACACCTAAATTTTCAGATAAACAATGACCCATGTTTACGATTTCATCGATGTATAGTATAGTTCACTTGATTTACGACGACTATATCTTGCACCTTAAAGCATCAAACTTTGCAAGACCCGAAAAATGGTCCAAGAGATAATAATTCTCAGATCTGGCATAGAAATCGCTCAATTATCATTGTAAGTGACTTTGCAAGAAACGTAGTACGAACATGTACGTACACGTACAAACGATACATTTTATGCAGGAACGGGCGACGAGAGCGCGTTCTGTTGCCGGAAGCGCGCACTTAACCCGAATACGCGGCTTCCGGGTCATATGGGCCTCGGTTGTTCCGCCGACCACCACATACCGACCAGCTGGGCGCCCGTACCATCGCCCACCAACAGCAGCGCGTCGCACACCCGCAATTATGCAACTCGGCGCTATCGGCTCTCTTATTAGGTACTATACGCTCTAGCTGTACTACTACATCAGTCTACAGTTCATACACTGCCTTTTTCTTCTCGATGATTTTTTAAGTAATAAGTAATTACAATAAAATTGACGATTAAAATTCTAAGGTTTTAATGCCTTCCAAAAACTATAAATGAATTTAAAAAACAAAGAAACAAATAGGTACCTTAACTAACAGCGACATTGTACTGTCGAGTTTCAAAGAACCCAGGTAAACTACATTTCACATATTATCAACTTATTGAAATCTCATGTAGGTACCTACTGGTTTATTAGAATTAACCAAACTTTTAATGTATACGTCTTGATTAAGATATACTGAAAATGGTATGAAATAAAAAATGAAACAAAGTGATGAGAATTTACTTACTCTACGGAGGCTAGCCACAAGTTCATATTTCTCTTTGACATCGCTTAAAAGCGGAAACGTCTGTACACATGCAGTGGTGGTACAAACGTAGATACAGGAGAGAAAGGCAGTTGAAACAAAAGGGGAAAAAAAAAAGGATTCGCCTGGCGGGCTCTCGGTCGGAGGGTCCGGCCAATCGGACGACACAACGCACGCATCGGAGCGTCGCGGCGTCCTGCGAGGAGAGCGAGAGAGAGAGCGAGAGATTCGATCAATACCGAAACGCTGTTGGCGTAGGTATACAGATGGTGTGGGTGGCTAAAGCGGCTATATGGGGCGTCGAGGGGTCGACTGTCGGGCGCCCGTAGCCCATTCACTGTGTACCTACTCGTACATACACTCACACGTAAGACAACATTTTTTTTTCTCATCCGATTTACTAATTACGGTAATCAATCCATATCACGTATTGGTTTTAGTTGTATCATCGCACATCTTATTACGCACTAGGGAATCAACACAACTTTTCGAGTATTGAAAGCTTTATACTTACGATCAAGCCAAAAAAGTGTGCCATTTAAAAGTTATTAAAAAAAGATTAAATGAAAATAGTGATTTGTACCACAAAGTAACATGAGCAGGAGACGTTCAAATGAGCTTTGTAACATACTCGGTGATATGAAGATTCAATCGTAATAGTTACAAAGCCCGTATGGAGCTAACAAAGTGAAGGACGACAGAGAGCTTTAAAAAAACAAAAGGATGTAAAAGTGAATAAAAAATTAATGTGTATGCCATTTTTCAGTGCTCGTGTATGCATGCAGCTTCTACAACTTTGGATTAGTTTCAGCGGGATAACATGATGGTCAGGAACGTAAAGCAGACCTTCCATTATCTGACCATGAAATTGCGACGAAACGAATAAATGTATGTTTTAACCCTTTTTTTTGTAGTCCATTTGTAGGTGTATCATTTAAATTGTCGGGAAAAATGCCATTATTGCGCAACACTGGGGTGAAACACTTGAATCATTCAATGGTAACGAAAACGATACTGTACAGCTTTGCAATTGACGATGGAAATCACTAAAACGCTTTACCTCGACATTTAGTATACGGGAGCTAAGTATAAACAAGAGCGTTTGCATAATGAATCTGCTGCTGATGCTTGTTTCTTGAAATACAAAAAAAAAAACGTTACCACCGAATAACACGAACAAAAGCACAAAAAGCACGCAAGTCCCAACCTAGAAGCGGAAATGAACATTGAGTTCGGTCGGGGCCTTGAATTTACAGCGTGGGCCTTGAACATCCGACCCAAAAGTCAAATCAAGCGAGTAATTGTGTGGCGCCGATTCGTCGCAGTCGCTTCCGATGCGACTTGTCGCTGTATAGATTTTTTTCACCTCAATCTCTTTAGAATAGCTGTGTACATCCCGTACTTGCGTATTATACTACGCATTGATGATGCTCTCTTGTACCTATCACCACCAGAGGCACTCGATCGTGAAACTGACCTTGCTCTTATTTAGAGTTATACAAAAAGGTGTTGCGCTCTCTCTCCCTCGTAGTACCATTGTATTGCACTCGCTCGTAAAAATCAATGCTGATCCCGATAATGAACGGAAAAACCACAAGTGCACTCTTTCAGAGGATACAATATACTCGTAGCTTGAGTTTTCATTTTCTAGTTCACTCTATACGTGTAGAGCTATACGCGAGTATGATACACATAAGACACATGTAAACGAGATGCAGCACAAAGAGGAAAGATGTACCTAGTTTATGAGGCTCCCGAGAAAGTAGTAGCAAGCGGTCACTGGTGCAGCAGTAAATATCAGCTATCGCGAGGTCAGGCGAGTCTGCCCACTTTTTTCTTTGCTTCCCATTGAGATTACTACTACTATTACCCTCGCAGTTTATCTTTCTTTCGATTTGGCTACTTTACTTGTGGTGAAAGTTTCTCCGCGCGCTTATCCGAAAACGAAACAGTAAAAATAATAGCCCCGGAGCATCTGACGTTACCATCAAAGGTTTTGCAAATTTTTTGTATTCCGTAAAATTATATGTCTTGTTTTAAATACTAAAATGCAGTAATTATGGACCCCACAAGAGTTAAAAAAAAAAAAAAAAGTCAGCATACATAATAACAATCCCGCGGACAATTGAAGGCATCATCATTGGATTGTTATGCATAGTAGTACAGAGAGCCAACAACCCTCGAGACTATATATACTATTACATGCTGTTTAGTTGCGGGTGCATCGACCCAAAGTAATGCCGACGTCCGACGATGACGGCGACGTGTATGTGCCAACGGCAAAAGTAGCCAAACTCTCTTTACTCTTCTCTGCCTACACATACAAATCTTGAGCTGTGCTATACAATACCAGCATCATCGGGCTACGTCTTCAAATATGAGGTGCTCATATGCCACAGGGGACGAGTCGGCATCTATTTCCGGACACGAATGTTTGAAATGCCGAGGAGACAAACAAATAGCAAACCTGATGGACATTTTTTTTTTCTGTTTCTATACGAATCGTACAACTCCTTTACATGTAGTTGTGTAAAAATTGTACGTATATTGATTCGATTGATTTAATATAGCTGGAGTGTGGGTCTCATGACTAAACGTAGCTTGGTTTCAGATACGCTGCAGGAATGCATATGAGGGGAGTAGCCCTGTTCGTTAAAAATGCCAATTTTTATCGTAAATAGAGTGATTTCTACTGTTTACACAGTACTATTTCATTATTCTAACTACTTTACTCTTTCTTACGTCTCATTTTGTGAATTTTACTAAATTTTTAAACACGATTTTACATTGTAATTCAAAAAATAATTAGATATAGTTTCATTTCATTCTGATAAAAATCATTTAACGCATGAACCACTTTCAATATGTTATACGACATCCGAGACGACGTCAACTTAAAACTGTACTTATTTCGTGCAGTGTTAAAAATAACTTTTACTTACCTACGTGTAGGAGCTCCGCAAGCTACCTGAAATTGAAAAAAAGATTTCGTGTAAGTAAAGCGAACTGAAACCATGCACAAACAAAATTTGAAGGAAATCAAAAAGTACTCTATAGCATTTTTAAATAAACAATAGCATTAAAATTAAATGTAGGAAAAGCAATTCGATTACTCTGGGTTAAATATTACTGTTGGTACGTTCTGGGACTGCTCTTTATAATTTAATCATCTTATCAAACTTAATTATTGATTTTTAAATTACAAGTAACTTTACGAGTGATGAAGGAATTATTCATTATTAGCAGTAAATTTGAGGAGACAAAAATGTCCTTCTTTGCACAAGAAGCCGAGTACGTCAAATTGACTTCTGATGATTTTAGTAAGTAGTTATATGATGAATAAATAGTCATATTAACAACAAGAGACCTCAAATACATTTTAGTTACAACAAAAACTTTTCTCTCCCCAGTACCGATCAATAATTTATGGGCGTCACCCACTTTCTTTTATCTCATTTTGTTTACACGCACAACCTCACACACATGCGCGTATTCATGAATACGGTGCATGAGCACGAACCATAAGCAACGCGGTATGTGCAGCTGAATATCGATCCTTTTTCTCAGAAAGTTCTTTTCTCGAAGTTCTCAGAAAGTGCCTTTAAGTTATCAGGGTCATTCGATGTGCCTTTATTTTGAAAGCTACTTTAATCTTTCGATTACTCATCATCGGGATTTAGTCACTGAATGATCATTTTTGCTCGATTTTTGAGCTACTAATAGCCTCATCTTTAATTTTTCATTTGATATACACGAATTATCTGTAGCCAAATCTGCTCATTGGCCGTTAATGGATGTAGATTTCAGTATTAATATTCAATCATTATTGACACTTAATGAACCGATGATTTGATGTTACGAAACGGTAATGTTTAGTCCAAAAAAATAATTTGTCAACTGTTAATGTTTGTTTATTCAGTCTCTTGTTAAAAAACGATTAGACGATCAATCATCTTTCGTCATCCATCTCCACTTTTTACACGCAAGTAAAAACACCTTATTCAAGTCTCGTTAAAAATAAAAACCGATTATGTACATCCCCACAAATAAGTTGGTTCGAACTTCACTGCGATGTATTTAAATTGACCACATGCACACAAGTCATTTTCATCAGCGAATGAATAAAGAAGGAGCCAGAAGAAGGACGCATCGAGCAAAACGGAACTGATCCAGCGGTTGAAAAACCTACCGAGCAACTTTGAGGTCACCTTTTTTTTGCCAACGTACGAAAACTACCTCATTATCGTAGTAAGCACGAAATAAAGAAAGAAATATACGACGACCAAGGAGACCGGCCCACTCCTCCACCCACGTATACACATCCGTGTGTGTCTGCACTCACGTGACGCCTCCTCCTCTCCTTTTATTTCCTGGCTCGCGGATGTATGGGTTGTACACGGCACGCTCACACAGCACTCTTTTTACGAGTCCTGTTGCTAGCCACAACAAAACAAAAAAAAAAAAAAAAAAAAACCTACGTGCACGTATAGGATATAGGTAATCTATATACGACACTCGTATTAAAGTTAAGCACGCAACTCTTGCAAGTATATACGCACGCGGATATATTATACCTATACGTATCGTATCTTTGGCCTGCGTGCACTGACCTCGAGACGCACGTGCCATGTGTCGCGACGACGAACACCACTAAATGGGGCGTCTGTGCCCATTTCGTATCGTACATGTGAGAGAGTTTTTATATGTACACACGTGCAAAACTCTCCTCACGAGGATACGCACTACTACAATCAACTGCTTTCATGCATTAAAACTCACCGCAGCGCAGACGATACGCGGTTTTTGCTCGGACGCGAATTCCGTTCGTGGTTTATTCAACCGTTCTTTTTGTTTATTGATACAATGTACATAATATATTATGTTTGTACTCGCGTGTGGGTGTTTTTGTGTCAGTTGGATGATAAATGATTGCTTTATCGTCTTACAAACCCGGTGGAATAACATCAGCTACAGAATGCTTCTTACGCGAATACATTGCTCTCTTTCTGCTTCGCAATCAGTGTAAAATCATCTCGGGTTATACAATACAAAGTTGAGCGCTATATATAGTATTGGTTTAAAAACGGTGTATACTCGACCAACCTGCTGATCAGCAGATCAAGATCATTGATGCCTCTTGTTTTTGTACAGTCGACGATGATGCAACGATTGTATATTCATACACACATCTCCCCTTGTTTCTCTCTGTTTGTGGTAAAAAATGTCTGACGAGGTACACATACAGTAATGATAAATCGAATCTCTCAGGAGATACAAAATGTAGTGTTGCGTGTGCGGTACAGAGTAAACAATATTAATATTTAGATCTGCTTCGATGCGGTTCGCCTTTTTGCAAAACTGATGGACGATAAGACTTGGCTAACTTCGGTTATTGTGCACACAGAGTATCAGACGGTGGATCTTGCCGACCGTTGAAATAATATACTGAATTTCGACTTGACTCGAAAACAATTTCAATGGTCAAAGTTTTTACATAAGTAACCGATTTCGACATTCCCAACAAACTACTTGTATTAATTGATTTATGAAATTGCACATCATTTGTTGTCATTAATGCCTATGCAATTAACTTTAGTAACAGCTCAAACATCAAGTTCTAACGTAGAACCAAAACGTGTAAGATGTTGGGAGATAACATCAAAACAGTCGACACATCCTTCCCGTGCTCGTAAATTACCAAAGACAATAGAACGGCTACCACGGGGACATGGAATTTTTTCACACTACTCATAAGCCCACTAAGATCCATTAATGTTCTTGCGTCTCCGCGCAAAAAGGAGCAACCTGCATCAGTTTTACGCATTTTTTTTCTCTCCCATCCATCTTCGAATCTGGTGGCGGAAACACGTCAAGTAAATGGCAAACAGAGCGCGACAATCAATTACAAAAAATAAACTTTCGTCCGTTCATCTCTCTAGACTAGACCTGCAGGGGTATAATGTTCCTTTTCGTCTCGCTCCACAGCCGCGCACATACCTACACCGTTCGACTCGTCTTTGGTTACATTGGCAAATATAGTTGCAACGACGACTAATACATTAAGACCAATGAAAGGAACGACAGGTAACCACAGCGTCAATCCAGTCACCGACCACGCCTCTTTTTCTCCTCCTCTTCTTCCCTATTTCTCTTGATGATGTGCGCATTGTATCGACGTTTTAATTCCTCTCGAGAAGGCAGAATACGGTGCTGGTGATTATGACGATGCTGGTCTGCATGTTCCTACACAACAGCAATTGGTGTGCATAGAATGGTGGTTCATGAAATAGAGGCCGAAAGAATATAAGAATGGTTTGGTTTGGCAAAAAGAATCGAGTTACCAGTCGACGACGACCAGCAGAGCAAACCTCGTTTGAAAGCTTTTCAAGTGTGCAATGCAGTGCACACATTGGAGGAGCGTCGCGGGAGAGTAGTAGAAGGACACTGCTCATCCATTAGGAACGTATCTTGTGTAAATTGTCACGCCTATAAGACTTTGAGTGGTGAGAGATACGAAAATATAGAGGTGTTGTTTGACGAGACGAGCACGGTATCGGCACTGAATGATGCTATTGGCTGTACAGAGAGAAGTAATTTTTTTTTATTACCTTTTGATGGTCAATCTTAATTCACTTATTTTTTTAAACAAAGTGAAACACTTGACTAGCGAGGTAGCGACAATACTATACCTCCGAGCAACTTAATCGCTGAAAAGCTCTCGACTGATGTGTGATTGGTTGTAGAACACACAAGATATATATATATATATATATATATATATATATATATATATATATAAAAAGAGCGTACCATTCACGTAAGTGTGATCTGATTTTTCAGGCGTGCACGTTTCACGTTTGACCAATTGTGAATGAACCTGGATAAGGGAACGAGCGACGCTTCGTTGGTTGTATGGACCAAGAATGAAAAAATAAAAGTGAGCTAATATGTTTTACGAGCTTTTAGATATTTGTAAAAAAAAAAAAATGTTTACCAAGCAGTCAAGTCCAGAGACGAGAAATTTCTTCCAGTTGACTACATCAGATAACAAAGCCAGCCGAGAGAGAGAGAGAGATGAATCGGACCCCCAGAAAGCACGAGCGAGCCGATATGTTATATTCTTGGAAATAGATTGTATTTCATAACATTCTAGTTATTCAGTTCCGCTCCCCTTGCTGCTTGACTCATCGTTATCTGGCGTACACGCACGCATATATATACGTATATCTGACCGACCCTACATATAATACGCTCTCGCCTTGTGGAGTATAAACAGGAGTGACGACGACTCCGCCCTTATCTTGCCGAGTTACGACGGTTCCGATGATGTACAGAAGAGAGACGAGTCGGATCATCGTCGTGTGTATACCGTGGTGAAAATTGAAGCGAGAAGAGAGGGATGTATATACGAGTGTATATATATAAAATACTCGATCTAATTGGAATTAATTGTGGCTCGACTGCTGATCGATTGTGTCGCTGTCGACGCGCAAGTGAGGGCCAAGTTGAAGAGACGACGAAAGGAAAATAATATCACACGAGGCCGACAGTGTGGAGGTTATAATATGAACTGCTTGTATCGCTTTCACTTACTGGTCTGACATCGAGTCGAGGCTTTTTGAAGCGCAAGCTTTTAGCCTCCTTAGAATTCATCTCGTGATGGTCCTTCTATTTTTTTCATAATGATAATGTTAATGCGGGTCGAGACTTTGGAATCGTATGAGGCACTCTAAGACTCGATTTTTTTGTGTTGGTAAACTTATTTCATTAATTTTTCAATTTCAATGATTGATACACATTTTTAAAGTTCAGTTGATCGTCTTCAGCTCTACCAGAAATCAGCCACACAAGCGATGATTATACTTTACTTTCTGGCCTATAGATGTACTCAATCATTGATTACTATTGATACTCATTAATTTAAATAAGACAACTCTGGAGTGTGAATTAATTTAATTAAAAATCTTT